CATAAATGATGTTGAGCGGTTTTCAATCCTGGTTTGCAATGCTTTTGACATCATCAGTGACCTCAAATAGGTCATTTAGTTCTATAAACTTTTTTCAAATTTAGTTTACATTTATAAATCCCTGTTAGGGGAAAGACTTTACAGTCATAGCTTATCAAATCTACAAAATGTTGGGGTCTCCTCAGCACAGCTTGCTGTGTACACGTAGATGACGTAGCACCTTTGCATGTGGCAATTTTCTTAGGGCACAGCAGTATGGGAGGAAAGTTTTTCTGTCTGAGGGTTTTCAATGCTGCATTGCTGCAAAATAAGCATCAGCAGACCACACGCTATTAGTGCCTCTCCCTGTCTAACATCAGCCCCTGCGGTGGTGCTTAATCACACTATCCTGAAATGAAAGAGCGTCCACGGTGCAGGTGTGCGGCCACGCTCCAGAAGCCCACGTTCTCTGCCACTCAGCCTCCGTGGCCACAGGAAGNTAATCCTGCACCGACTGGGCCGATTGTCAAGCTAAGGCTGGGTCTGGAGCCCACAGACCCCCCAAGCCTGTTCACAGACTGGGTCACAAACCCTTCATATGCCAGGCTGGGTCACCAGACCTCACACACGCCAGGCTGGGTCACCAGACCCCTTTGTGGAGCTCTGCTAAGCTACGGCTAATGTCTGGGATCCTGTTGACATCATCAATTGTAGTGCTCTTATCCTGTTCATGATGCCAATTGTCTAGCTACATGACCACGCTAGTTGTTGGGCTCTTTTACCTGCCGGTAATCCTGCTTACTGGGCCAATTGTCAAGCTAGGGTTGGGTCTGGAGCTCACGGACCCCTCAAGCCCGTTCACAGACTGGGTCACAAACCCTTCACATGCCAGGCTGGGTCACCAGACCCCTTACACGCAGGTCTATGAGCTAAGTAACTGGCCAAAAAGTCCTTGGAGCCATAGGTTGGAAAGCATGGCTGCGCCTGGCAGATGCCTGAGGCAGACACCCACCTTCCTGCTTCACTAAAACTCCTCTCTCTCTTCTGCTCTCTCTCTCTCCCTGAAGAACACAAGAATAGCAACAAAACTAAAAAGATACATTGGTGCGCATGCACACTAACTCCACGCACACACACACACACACACACACACACAATTTGCTTACAAAGGATGTGCTAAAACCATACCCAACTGGACTTGAGGTGAGGGCCCTGACCAAACTATTCTATTTTCCCAACAGGCTGGGTCACCAGACCCGTTACATGCAGGTCTATGAGCTAGGTAACTGGCCAAAAGGTCCTTGGAAGCTGCGAGTTGGAAAGTATGGCTGTGCAGGGCAGATGCTTGAGGCAGATGCCTGCCTGTCTGCTTCACTAAAACTCCTCTCTCTCTTTCTCTCTCTAATAGCAAGAAAACTAAAAAGATACATTGGCACACATGCGCACTAACTACACACTCACACACACACACACACACACACACACAATTTGTTTACAAAGAATGTGATAAAACCATACCCAACTGGACCTGAGGCGAGGGCCCTGACCAAACTATTCTGTTTCCCAACAATCCACTCCTTCAGGATCCTCACCATACAATCTATGCGTTCAGAATCTTCCCTGATGTTCCCTTAGTGAGGATAAATGACCCTTACATTTACAAACTACACATTCCATCCCAGTCCCAAAAGTCTTTAACTTGTTGCAGCACCAACTCAAAAGTCCAAAGTCTCCTCTGAGACCAAAGGCAAAAGTCGTTCCAGCTGTGAAACTGTAAAGAGTCAAAAACAAGTTTATCTACTTCCAAGATACAATGGGACAGATTTTGGGTACACATTCCCATTCCAGAAGGGAGGAATAGAAAGGAAAACAGTCCCCAAACAAATCCAAAACCCAAACAGGGCAAATGTTTAGCACACTGGGGCACCTGAACCCCTAAAGTGTTGGGCAACCTCACTCCTACAACTCTGCCAGGTGCAGACCATTGAGCTGCCCTGGTGCCTGCAGCTTTTCCAGGCTGGCACTGCACATTACCAGCAGCCCCATAGTTCTGGGCTCCTGGTGGCAGTCCCGCCATCCTGACTCCACTAGACATTTCCTCAGTGGAGGTTCTTTGTGGGGTCTCCACACCACTTTTCTGCTCCACATTGCTCCATGGATGACCTCCACAGCAGCTCCACCCCTGCAGCAGGTCTCTGCCTGAGTCCCCCAACTTTTTCATACATCTTCCGAAATCTAGGTGGAGGCTGCCACTCCACTGCTCTCACATACTGCTGGCCTGCAAACTTAACACAACGTGTTAACACAAGGTTTTCAGCTTTTTTTCTTCAGAGGTGCTGAGGCAGAATTGCTCCAGCCAGAGTGGCTGGGATGCAGGGAGTAGTTTGCTGAGGGCAATGACACCTCAGGTCTGTCCTCCAGGACAAACTCAGTTCTCGTAGGATGGGAGGGGTGCCTCCCAAGCTTCTCAAACACCCTAAGGGCCTGTAATGGGTGGGGCACCCATCCAGACTTCTCAAATGTGTTTAGGGCTTTCCCCCCATTGTCTTGGCTCTTAGCATCCGGCTGCCTCAGTCCAAGATAATGTCTTTAGCAAGCAGTTTATCTGCTTCACCCTTGCATTTTTCTCCTCCGCTTTTCTACCGCATGGCCAGGCTGCAAATATTCCAAATCTGCATGCTCTGCTTGCCTTTTACATTCTGGCTTTTGAATTACTTCAATCAGCTCAGCTTACACTGGCTACTCACTCAGTCTCAGGCAGTTCAGCAGCAGTTGCCCACACAGTTCAAACAGCTGCATTCACGCAGTCCATCAAGGAGTGACTGCCCTGCCACTGTGCATATCCACAGCCATTCTGCAGCTGCTGCCTCAGAGACAGGTGCGTAGTAATAGAGACTGACTTTTCCACCTTTTCACCAGGTGAAAACATGCTTGAAATTCTGCAGGGGCACCCGTCCTCAGGTCATCTGCCCATCTGTACGTGGCACTCTTTTCTCGGGTTTTATAGCACTCAGCCAGCCATTAGGTTTAAGTGGCACCCTCCAAGCCCTTTGCCTTCAGACAAATGCAACTTGTGTTTACTACATAGTCTCTAGAGCACGCACGTTACACCATCCACCCCTAGGTCTCATAGCTGGAGCTGCCAGGGGCTCTCCCTGTTTCTGCTGCTTTACCATCTCAATTTCTCATGCACAACAGGTCATGCCTGGAGACACACAATTTATCCCAACTTATCACTGGGTTGGTCGTCTTCCCTGGTGTGAGAAGCAGGAGTGGCCAGTCGCTGCATGTCATCCTCCAGGACATTTATCCATGCTTCCAACAACTCTGCTTTCTGCCACAAATCTTGATCAGTTTGCAATAGCCAGGCTCTGGTCAGCAGAAAAGTGGCCACCGGGCACCACATGCTCAAGGATAGCCACATTTCCTCCTTCTTCCAAGGGCTTTCAGCTCCTGTACCTGATCAGAATCCTGTCGCAGACTACGCCAATGTGGCGCTCTTAATTCTGCTGACTATGCTAATTGTGGCGCTCTGCAGCAATGTCTGGAATCCTGCTCATAGTGCCAATTGTCTGGCTCTTAATCCTGTTTGTGATGACAATTGTAAAGCTACTTGACCATGCCAGTTGTCGGGCTCTTTTACCTGCTGATAATCTTGCACTGACTGGGCCAATTGTTGTGCTAAGGCTGGGTCTGGAGACCACAGACCCCTCAAACCTGTTCACAGACTTGGTCACAAACTCTTCATATGCCAGGCTGGGTCACCAGACCCCACACATGCCAGGCTGGGTCACCAGACCCCTTACATGCAGGTCTATGAGCTAGGTAACTGGCCAAAAGGTCCTTGGAAGCCACAAGTTGGAAAGCATAGCTGCACAGGGTGGGTTCCCGAGGCAGATGCCCACCCACCTGCTTTACTAAAACTCCTCTCTCTCTCTCTCTCTCTCTCTCCCTCTCCCCGAAGAATACAAGAATAGCCACAAAACTAAAAAGATGCCTTGGAGCACATGTGCGCTAACTATACACACACACACACACACACACACACACACACACACACACACACACAACTTGCTTACAAAGATTGTGCTAAAACCACACCTAACTGGGCCCGAGGTGAGGGCCCTGACCAAACTATTCTATTTTCCCAACAATAAATATATCATAATTGTAGTTTTACATATTCAAATATGTCAGAATTTAACACAGTACCTGCAGGTAGGAGTTGTTTAAGGCATTGTTGCTTGATGCAGGATTTGTTTAGGTAGACATGTCTGCTTTTCCACTGGAGCAGTGTTGGGGATTTAGCTCCAAATTAATTCATTTATCTATGGTACCCAGAGGAACATTTCATAAAAGATCTTAATTATTTACTCATTTTTTCTCAGAGTATCACAATATATACCCATTTCTAAATTTAATCTTAGAAGGAAATCTTAAGAATATAGGAATTATCTTCTTATATAATCATTTCAGGATCATACTTATATTTTTTATTTGCAGCTAAACCATTCTGGGGCCTGGAAATGAAGATTTGATTGTGAGATGTCCTAAACAAGGAAGATCTCGTTACCCTGTGGATTGGTATTACTCACAAACAAATGAAAGTATTCCCACCCAGAAAAGAAATCATGTATTTGCCTCAGGGGAACATCTTAAGTTTCTACCAGCCAAAGTCAATGATTCTGGGATTTATACTTGCATTATCAGAAGGTATTATCCAGAAGTCACCATTGTCTTTGAGCTACCTCCCTTTCTTTAATGGCCAGTAGTCTGACTGCTTTCCCTTTCCTTCCTTTTCTAGTCCTTTATGGAACAGTTTAATTTATAAAGTGATTTGAATAAAAGAGTACTTCTAGGAATATTGTCAGATTGGGGTTTAGTTAGTTATGAGCTAACTATTGGGATTTATAATTGCAGGGATAAATTTGTTTCCTAGTTAGGAAAAGACCTGGCTTTCCTAGTGGCCAAGAAAACCAGGAGGAATTGCTCACTTTCGGCTGGAAGTCATGACAAACCAGCACAAAAACCAGTAACCTAGACATTTGGCATCTGGGAGGTCTAAGGTGGATGAAAAGAGCGGTTACCACTGCCTCCAACCTTAGAGTTAAGCTACAGGGCATTACATGAGATTGTGTGCTTACAAATGACTTGCTCTGTATATAAAGTCTTAACCGTTTTGATTTTGTGCCTGTATTTGCTACCTACAAAATGTCAGCTGAACTACATCAAAAGGCAGAATGTATATAGTCAGGTATCTGGGTTCTGAGTCCAGACAGGTGTCAGTTTCAAATTTGTGCCCTGTCACTGGGTAGCTGTGTGATGCTGGCAGGTTACTTCTCTGCCCCTCAGTTTTCTCATCTGTAAAATACATGTAATAATATAACCCCAAAGCCTTGCTGTGAGAGTAAGATGAGGTAATGTATGAGAAGTGCTCACCACCATGACTGGTACATGGTAAACTCTCAGCAAATACTAATTATCTTTATTATACTGGAATTGTGGCAATACAGAACGTCTAATGCACGAAAAAATGGTGCAGTCATTTTTAGAGCTACCGTAGGGGGTTACGTTTTATCTCAAGGGAATCGAAGAAGTATTTCAAACTCTAGATTGTAAGGATTATTTTTAAATAAGAAGGAACCACTATATATCAAGTGTTTTAAGAATAACAATATTAAGTAAAGGCTAAAGTTGGATTAAGTTATTTCATAATGTTAATTAGTAGATTAAGTTATTTCATAACGTTAAGTGAGTCTTTTTCCTTGTCTGACTTATTTTAATAGTCCCACCCTCAATCTTACTGGACATGCAAATGTCACCATACATAAGAAACAACCAGATTGTGACATTCCAGATTATTTGATATTTTCAACAGTATTTGGATCAGAAAAAAATTCCAAAATATATTGTCCTACAATTGACTGCTATAATTGGACAGCACCTGTTGAGTGATTTAAGGTACAAGGAAATTTGGGGGAAAATAGATAAAAAGTACACAATTAAAATAGATGCACAGGAAGAATTACTAAAAAGGGAATGGAATTTTTCATTTCAGAATTGTCAAGCTCTTCAAGGACAGAGGTTCAGGGCATACAGGTCATTTTTGGTAATTGACAATGTGACAAGTGATGACGAAGGCGACTACACCTGTAAGTTCACACACAATGAAAATGGAGCCAATTACACTGTGACAGCTACCAGATCATTCGCAGTGAACAGTAAGACACTAACTTTAGCAAAACACAGTATTTGAAAACAGACAAAGTGGGAAGAGTTGTGCCTTCTGGGTGAGTTTTCTGCACTTCTCTCCGGTACTGGATCCTGCTCCATCTTGTCTTACGTGTTCTCTATCTGCTATGACACAAGGAGGTTTTCTGAGTGCACTATCAAATTATAAGAAGTCTTAGGGGGAGATTACACCACCAACCCAAAGCCACATCTATTCTTTCTTTTGTAACTTAATTTTCCAAAGATATGGCTACTATCTGAATGCTAACATGATTTACATTTTTTTTTGAAAGGCAATACAACTATTTGGAGGATAAGAGTAACTTTTCTTTACCCAATTTGGTGTCACAGATTCTGTAAATAAAGGGAAAAAAACCCCAGAATTTAATCTTTAATATAATGCATTGGATTAGAAGTTTAAAGAGCAGATTTATAATGGGGCACATAAATGATGTTGAGCAATTTTCAGTCCTGGTTTGCAATGCTTTTGACATCACCAGTGACCTCAAATAGGTCATTTAGTTCTATAAAACTTTTTTCAAATTTATTTTACATTTATAAAAGTCCCTTTACGGGAAACACTTTATAGTCATAGCTTATCAAATCTACAAAATGTTGGGGTCTCCTCAGCACAGCTTGCTGTGTACACGTAGATGACGTAGCACCTTTGCATGTGGCAATTTTCTTAGGGCACAGCAGTATGGGAGGAAAGTTTTTCTGTCTGAGGGTTTTCAATGCTGCATTGCTGCAAAATAAGCATCAGCAGACCACACGCTGTTAGTGCCTCTCCCTGTCTAACATCAGCCCCTGCGGTGGTGCTTAATCACACTATCCTGAAATGAAAGAGCGTCCACGGGTGCAGATGTGCGGCCACGCTCCAGAAGCCCACGTTCTCTGCCACTCAGCCTCCGTGGCCACAGGAAGTACAATTCTCCAAGGGCAGAAGACCTTCTGTGCTGAGGATGGGCCGCAGGGGTGGGCACTGTGATCTCATGCATTTATCATTTTCATGGGCCTTTTGAAATCTTCTTGCCTGTAGTTTTAGCTTTATTCTGTAGAATTGTGGTTTTCTAACAATTACAGGTTCATGCGATTCACTTAATGGGTTGGACCAGCATTTGTTTTAATGACATAGAAGAGAAGAGAAAAGATCAAAGAGCAACATAGGGAGTAAGAGAAAGTATTCAAATTTGTGCCCTGTCACTGGGTAGCTGTGTGATGACTGAAATGAAAGAGCGTCCACGGGTGCAGATGTGCGGCCACGCTCCAGAAGCCCACGTTCTCTGCCACTCAGCCTCCGTGGCCACAGGAAGTACAATTCTCCAAGGGCAGAAGACCTTCTGTGCTGAGGATGGGCCGCAGGGGTGGGCACTGTGATCTCATGCATTTATCATTTTCATGGGCCTTTTGAAATCTTCTTGCCTGTAGTTTTAGCTTTATTCTGTAGAATTGTGGTTTTCTAACAATTACAGGTTCATGCGATTCACTTAATGGGTTGGACCAGCATTTGTTTTAATGACATAGAAGAGAAGAGAAAAGATCAAAGAGCAACATAGGGAGTAAGAGAAAGTATTATTTAAATGTTTTTTGTTTCGTGTGTGTGTGTGTGTGTGTGTGTGTGTGTGTGTGTGTGTGTGTGTGTTGCCCTGGGTTATTGTCAAAACATTGTGAGAAACTTCCTGTGAGGTAAAATACAAATATGAAAATACAAGCTTTATATTGATGACCATCCAGTGCTTTCCTGATATTTGAAACCTCTTTTTGTCTTTAAGATGAGCAAGGCTTTTCTCTGTTTCCAGTAATTATAGCCCCTCCACACAATGAAACAAAGGAAATAGAAATCGGTAAGAAAACTTTGAGATTGCTGTAACGTTTACCTGGAAAATCCTTCTGTGTGACCCGAGGTCTGAATTCTCCTAGTGGGGGTCAGGCATTTAACACAGGGGACCTTGGGGATTAAATGAGCTGCTACTGGAGGAAGCACCTGTGGCAGACACTTGATAACACTGGGGACCGCTCCACGGTGGCATGTGCCAGGTACCTTTGTGCTGCACCGGGTCATTCAGGGGCCTCCCCGCCTGCATCTCATTTCATTCTCACTTTTATCCAGAGGTGGATGTTTTCACTTTACTCTTTAGGAAACTGAGACTCAAAGATGCTCAAGGACATGACCGAGGTCGTGCATAATACATGACAGAAGAAGGGCGAGAATCTGGACTCTGGCTCTTTCCATGTCTGCCTTTCCTGCTTCCCACTAGAAGTGGGATACAATTCAAAGTTCTTGGCATGTAACGCAAGTCCCCTCGCGACCCTCCTCATGGCGCACCTGCAGCATTAACCCTCCACGGTCGCTGCCTCCTGTTTTGCTCACGGGACTGCTCACATTCTTCCCGACTTTTGCCTGTGCTGTCCCCTCCTCCTCTCTCCACACTAAGCTCAAATGTCACCTCGTCCGTGACATCCCCCATCCCCCACTCCACCTCCTTCCCTGCCAGAGAGCACGATCAGAGCCTCCATGGGATCAAGTCCAGGCACCATGTGCAGGTGCTGCGTGACAGCCACGCTCCCTGCAGTCGCTCCCTCTGTGTCCCCAGGCCACTGCGTTAGTCTTCCTGTTACAACACGAGAACACTTGTGTTCTGATCATTTGTTTATAGCACGGCCACCACCCCAGAGGTTCCAAGTTCCTCTTCCCTCCCCAGATGCCTGATTCTTCACAGGGCTCCTGACAGGAACGACGGACGGGCTCAGTAAGGGACAGTTAAATGCTTGCCCAAGGCACAAAAGCTGCCATTAGGCTCTCAGTTCTGAAAGAAGGAGTCTCGAGTTCAAGGAGCTGGGACGGAGAACTGTAGATCCTGGAAGCTGAAGTGCTGGGGTAGTAGCCAGGTCCTGGCTACCCAAAGTTAGCTTATGGCGAGATGAAGAGAGTTTGGTAGGAGGAGAAAAGCGTGGAGAGAGCAGCGACACAGACACTGCAATTTCTAGGAAAGGGAAATCCCACATTAAAATGTGGGGTTGGGGAAGCAGGAGCCATTTGCCTCCCTAGTCCCCCCTGCAGGCGGGACTTCAGCAAGTCTCTTCACACCAAGTGACACTAAGCACTTGCAGAATTTCATTTCATAGGTGATTTACTCTTCCTTTCTTTCTGTCTTTATCTATTTTGCATCTAGGAAAAACAGCAACCATAGTTTGCTCTGCTTGCTTTGGGAAAGGCACTCAGTTCTTGGCGGCTGTCCTGTGGCAGGTTAATGGAAGCAAGGTCAGGGACTTCGGTGACGCAAGAATTCAGGAGGAAGAAGGGCAAAGGCGAACGTATGTGTAGACTGAAGCTAAAGCATCCCCTGCTGCACCCACACGATTTGCACCTGCAGAGCATTCACAGTAACGCGATGCCCTCTCAGTTCCAGCAGTGACATGATGTGTCTAAACACGGTTCTGAGAATAGCCGCCGTGAAGGACGATGATTTGTCACTGAAGTATGACTGCGTGGCCCTGAATCTGCACGGCGTGAGACGGCACAGCCTGAGACTCAGGAGGAAAGACCCAAGTAAGGACTGTTGAGACTTCGCTCCCTGCGTCGGCTGCATCAGCTGTAGGCTCAGGCCATTTTATTACAGAACAATGTGTCGAACTTTGACTCCGGGGGACTCATGAAGACAATGCAAGTGGCCTGTCTCATAAAAAGTGCTGCCCTCTTGATGACCCTGACTGTGTCCTCCTACTCCTGCTCTTCACCTCCGTCCTCCTCCTCCTGCTCTTCACCTCCATCCTCCTCCTCCTGCTCTTCACCTCCCTCCTCCTCCTCCTGCTCTTCACCTCCCTCCTCCTCCACCGGCTCTTCACCTCCATCCTCCTCCTCCACCTGCTCTTCACCTCCATCCTCCTCCACCTGCTCTTCACCTGCATCTCCCTCCCCGTCTCCCTCCTCCTCCTCCCCCTGCCCCTCGTTGCTTCCTCTTCGACACTCACCTGTTTCCTTGGTCATCCTCCTTCATAAGTTCGCTGGCTCCTTTTTTTCACCATATGTGAAAAAACAAAACAAAACAGAAAAATCCCACTCGGACAGTAAACTGTGAACCTGTTGTTTTGTTCCCTTTTATAATATACTATAAATATATTCTCTTCTATATATTTTATTTATTTTTTTATTTTTTTGTCATATGAACACACTTTTTTTAGTGAGGATGGCAAAGTGTACAGAAAGGGGACGTATAGCCTGTAACTACTGCCCGTTGCACTAAGAAAGTCTTAGGTTCTACTTTATAATGACATGCATTATAATTGTTAACTGTATGAAGCTTTCAGTTTAGATGCAACTCATGGAAATTCTGGTAGCTCACCCCATTTCTTTATTGTATCTGTTATTCAACCTGCAATTCAGGCACCACCTTTTCCAGGAAGCTTTCCATGCCTTGGGATTTTTCTTGTTTTAATTTCAACTTTAACCCCTGATTTGTAAGTTTTTATGAAACAAACAGTCACGACTCTTGTGCATGATTTTAATTTTCTGCCAGTGATAATTCCACCATCCTGGGATGGCTGCGGACTGCATCAAGGAGTTATGTTAGGGCCACATTTGGGGTGGTGGTGGGCGTTGTGGGTCCTAGAGGACAGGGAAGCCATCCAGCCCCTCCCCCCCTGGCACCACCCCTGCTGCTGCCCCCTGCAGCTTGGCTTACCTGTTATCACCTATGAATGTTCTCTGGTTACCTGTGTACTGGAATTGTTTCTGCGTTACATGTATTTGGTGATTCTTTTCTTTCTAGTTTATTTGTATTTCACCTGTTTTTCTCCAAATCAATACATTTACACTGTTTCAACTGTATAAATTAAACAAAAATTTTTGTTACTGCCGTTGAATTGTCAGGATGAATTCATTTCTGAAATTAAAGCATTTCTTGAATTTAATAAGCAAAACCTTAAAAATACCATGTCCCCATTTTATTAAGTATTATTAAATGAATATTTGATGCTAATAATAATAGTACACATTTATTCATGGTTTCCTACATCCCAGCCCCTTTCTATTTTTGTATTTAAATTTTCTCAACACTCTGAGAAGGAGGGACTGTTACTCTCATCTAATGTTATAAACAAGGAGATTAAGGCAGAGAGAATTGACTAACTTGCCAAGTACTGTAGTTAGAGAGCCAAGATTTTACATGCAGACAGCTTTTTTCTATTTGTAAACACTTATAGAAAATAGTGTTTAATCATCATATACAAGAATTACCTGTGCATTTATAAAATTATTCACACTTAGGAAGAAATTGAACCTCAGCTTCCTTTAACATCCTAGATCGACTTCTTTCCTCTGGTGAAAGCAGCCAGCCACTGGCACAGCAGCTTCACAACAATGTCCAAAAGAGGTGAACCTGCCCAGAGTGCATCCAGATAGGAGTTTTAGGCAGAATAAACTGGAAAGAAATCCTGTTGAGATTATTTACTTAGAGGGTTCTTAGCATTTAAACTGTGGACAGAGCGGACACGCAGCTCTCTGCCACATTTCAGTTTTCCCCCAGCTTTGAATATCTTCACCTTGATCATTCTTGATTTCACAGTGCTGGCTACTCAGAGAGCTGATGAATTATTACAGGTGGTGGAGGAATTTGTGATATGAGCCAGGGATTCTCTGTGTCAAAACTGGGAACCCATGCATTGAAACTCACGATGAAGGGGCCGGCCCGGTGGCGCACTGCTACAGTGCGCCGCTTGGGAGCTCGGCGGCGCTCCCGCCGAGGGGTCGGATCCCACATACAGACCAGTTCCCGCTCACTGGCTGAGCGAGGTGCGG